CAGAGAACACTCGCATCTTAGTTAAGGCTTTCCTGAAAACAAGAACAGAAATGCTCACTGACGGAATGAGATCTCTTGTATTCAAGCTAACTAAAGAGATCTTAGAGGTAGTAGAGCAAATGCACGATTGAATACATGTACCTTGGTCAGCTTTTGTACACCTCCAGACTCTTAGTATGGATTGGTTTACACCTGACGTCACTTTACTCGTGTTGCTTGTGCACCTTGTTGTTGTACAGATTCGAATGTGTTTGGACGAGCCGAAGACTGTCAATTCACAAAATTTGGCTGTCTACTTCTTTATTTTGGAGGTGCGTAGCTTGTATGAAAGTTATCTTGTGCAGTCTAATTTTGTTCTCATAAGTCCGCATTACAGTCGGCAGTCTGTTGTGCTGAAGAATCGTCATTCGTTGAAGATGAACTAGCAACACAGATAGCTTCTTCCGTACGTGAGGCTGTTTTGTATTCCTTAGAATATTGGGTTGAAGCCAAGGAACAGCAGGAGCAATTGTCTTGTGATGTGAGTCATTTTATGTAAAGCTTTCTTGAGCATTCCAACTATTTCTTATATTTTCCCCTAGTTTTTTCGGCTTTTGTTTTATTCTATGATGGCAGAGAAGAGATCTGTCAATTTCCAAGGTATTCATATAAGACCATGTCTGCACAAAATAGTACGTGCAAATCCTGAGGCATATCATCTTTATCATGTAAAATGCAGTATAGAATGCTGCTTATTGCGACTTTTTAGCTACGCAGCTAAATTTCTGTCTGATAATTAATGAGAAGGAAAGGGTTCTGCTGCAATTCAAGCCACGTTTAACTGGCTAGCATCTATATACAGAATTTAGCCAATTCTCACTTTTTGAAGGGGTGCTTGTTTATGGCCGTGGATATAGCTACTTAGGAAATATTTTTGCAAAAGTTTTACAAATAATATTGCAAAATCGCAGATTATATAGTTACGAACCACTGCGTTCAGCAGAGAGAAATCATATTTCCAAATTGCTTCTCTATTTAGAATGCTCAATTTAGTACAGTGCTTCATCCATATTAAAATCTCGTTTTCAGGTTGAGGTCATTATTTATCGATTCACTTGCTGTTTTCTTGCTATCGGCGGTGCCCAAATGCTGCCGGAATCACTATTGCGAAATTGTTCTCCGCATATGCTCGAAATCTTCGAGAAGTCGATATCCGGAAGAGATTTCGCGGCGGCACGTTTACTGCTACCAGTTCTTAATGCCCTTCCGCAACTCACAAGTACTGTGATTACTTCTGTAGTTGATTTCGTGCTTTCACAGTATCCTGGAGGTGATTGGAGAAAAGCAGCTGACGAGGCGCTTGAGTCATTAGAGTCTTTGAGTTCAAGAGTTGATTTTTATAATGAAAACACAATGAAGGAAGCTATCAGAAAACTTAAAAATGTTATACCTAATTGTAAACTTCTCGAAAAATTATTGACATACCTTCTGCCATCCTAATTAGTTTGACCATATTCTACTGAATTACTGATTGTGAGTAAATTTTCTATTCATGGTTCTGCATTGATTATCTTTCTCTCGTTTGACGAATATACATGTATCTTGAAATAACTTTTATTATTATAAGATGTGTGTATTCTTTTTTGCATAGCATTTCAGGAAATAAGGTACAACTTGTACGCAACTATCCGCTGGATGCCTCTCATTATCCTTCTTTTAGCAACCACACCCCTATATCGGTTTGCAGAACTTTTCTTTTTTATCTTATTGTTTTAAAGATTTGCTGTTCATGTGGACAGAGAGCTGAAGCTATTTAGGTTCAGTAGTGAGCCAAAATTCTTTTATATTATTAGAGATGGTCCTTCGTTTTTTGGTAAAGTGGTAGAAGTTCCATCCTTTTGTCACGGAACGTGCAAAACCTATCTTTAACCGATTTCTAACGCAAAATAGGAAACACTTGCGAGCAAAGGGACGGAGCGCGGCTTCTGAGGTGGAAGGCGTGAAATATTCAAGAACCAACTGTTTATGCAGGCGAGAAAGAGCAAGTTGGGTTTTTCAAAGATATTTTCTTTCTATATCTCTTCTTCCTCGAATACCAATGGTCAGGCAGCTACCTTGGCAGAAGTCGGCGCTATCATTCTATTGCTTATGAATTCGCGGATTTATTTAATTCCTTGCATATCTTCGAGTTTTATGCAAACTTTGTGCTTTTTATCGTCTCTCCTGTCGTTTGCTTTTGGCGAAGTGCCATCACTTTCCGTGCCATTTGCATGGAGTGGCTGTGGCCATTGCATTTGCTGGGTTCCCCTCATCATCAAGAAAAACTACATGGATAGTAATTTGGCGGCGGAATTTGAGAACCTTGGGATTTGCGTTTAAAAAAAAATAGGGATCAGGTCAGGGCACGAATCTGCCAAAGTGCTCTTCTGGCGCGTTATACATCATAGTGAAAAAATCAAAGAATTCGTAGAAAACCCAATTTCTACCTCGCATGCAGCAACAGTTGAGCTTTGTATCTACCGCACCCTTGGTTTAAGCGGCGGCGCCCTGCTTCCAATGCAAGCTTTTTTGTTATCGTGTGTCAGGGTATCTCTATACTTCATAGAAGTAGACCAATCGAGGGTGCGGCGCTGTTGCGTTGCGGTCAAATACCTTTTGGCTGATTTCGTCGA